GATGTTAAGTGACTACCGCCGCCCATGATCAACCGCAACACCAGGGGAATTGCAGGTGCGTTGCCTGCCCTTTACAAAGGAGTAAGTTCTTTTCTTGAAGGTCCCCAGGTCATATCGGTCCGGAAAAACTATTCCACAGAGAGGTTGAACGCGGAAGAAAACTCCTTTTGAAACGTACAGTGGTGGACCGCCAAGCATCCAGATGGTGTGGATGGTATCGGGACGTTTGCCGCGTAGTGCGTTCACGAAATTTGGCGGCTGGGATTAATCCAAACAATTCCTCAGAGCACGCTCCATGGTATATGCGAAAGAAAATGCAAAGAGATGCAACATCTCTTCGCAGTGCCAGTGAATCGAGCCGATCGGAAAGCACTCGGTCGTCGACGATTCGAGCCGCTCTGCGCTGGATGCGGTCAAGTGGAAGGAGCTGGCACTGAGGAATCCCAGCCCAGAGATGGGAACAGTACTCCATGTGCGGCCGAACCTGCGCCTTGTAAAGTTGCAGGCGGTGTGCCGGCATGAAATACTGTCCCATTCTGCTGAGCACGCCAAGCTTTTTAGAGGCCAATTTGGCCTTCTCTTCCAAGTGACCACGAAACTGCACGTCACGTGTATGTCGACGCCGAGGATTCCGATACTGGCTGAGCAACAAGGGGAGTGCCTTGAAACTGAGGAGATACGACAAAGGGGTTCTTTTTAGCGGTTAACGCGCACACTTGTGTCTTTTGGGGGTTAAACTGGACTAGATTTAGTCGCCCCCAATCCGAGACTCAAAGACTCGACTTCAGACACAAGTTTGTCCCGACACTCGGAGACGTTTTCCCGAGAAATATTGGCTCGGCCGGTGTAAAGAGCATCACCAATGCTGTCATCTGCATAGCAATGAATGTTACGGGTTTGCAACATATCTTTGATATGCAGAAGAAACAGCGTTGGCGATAAAACGCAGCCTTGTGGAACACCAGCATTAATAGGCTTGCAATCGGAGCTTGCACAGTCTACAACGACCTTGATGCTCCGATCTGCAAGGAAGCTGGTGATCCAATCACACAATTTCTCGGAAAGCCGATAGGAAGGGAGCTTCGAAAGAAGCGCTTTGTGCCAAACCCGATCGAAGGCCTTCGCAATGTCCAAACTAACGGCTAATGCCTCCTCCTTGGACTCTACTGCCTCCGCCCATCTGTGAGTTAGGTAGACCAGAAAATCACCAGCTGACCGACCACGGCGAAAACCGTATTGGCGGTCACTAATCAGCTGGTGTTCCTCAAGGTACCTAGGTAGATGTGTTTTGATTAATCCCTGCATATGAAGGATTGCAAACGCGGTTAAGGAATCCAAATACTATTATTTAAATATTATATAGAGTGTCAAGCTAACATTTAATATTATAGCGTGAGGTTGTTACCAAGTGCTCAGAGCAGCAAAAATATTCCCTTAAAAATTATAAAATATCAAACGTCATTATTTTTATCATCATTATAGCTCTTCAAAATTCTATTGCTGAATATAGGCAAAGGATGCCACAAAACTGAGTCAACTGTATTCATCAACTTCCAGCATGTCTTACTAGGTTGTCACTTCATTTATTGAAACATATTTTACGTTTTTTCGCCGTCTGTTATATTTCAAATATATACTATACTAGCTTGCTTTTTGACGACCCTGTCATTTTATGTAAAATCCTTAAGTTCGCAAAAAAAAATTGTCAGTTACTCATGGGCAAAAAAAACTATCCTATCTCTCATGTGCTGCAACATTGTGCTCCATTAAAATCGGTTAAGTAGTTTAGTAGTCCATCGCGGACAAATAACGTGACCCGTAATTTATATATATAAAGATTTAAAATAAATAATTGACAAACCTAAATAACGTATATAAAAAAAGTTTATTGGTGTTCGTGGTTGAAATTGGCTACAAAAACACTATCATCATCAACCAGACTTACTTAATTTATATGAAAAACGAATCCCTGCAATTTTAATGTCCTGTGGGAATATTTGATGATATCTGAGGAGACGACGTCAGTCAATCAATAGTTTTTATATTTACACGTAAAAGATACAATAATTCAGCATCAACTATTTGATCTTAGGTCAAATGTTATCAGCACATTTTGCGCCATTTTACCCTTTTTTCCTTTCGCAAATTTCTCTTTATATTCTTTATAACGAAATAATGTGTAAGCTTTTTAAACCCGTGATGCAAATAAAGGGGTGTTATTATTTTATAGTTTATATCTGTGTATCTGTGTATCTGTCTGTAGCAGCGTAGCTTCTAAACGGGTGAACCGATTTGGATTTAGGTTTTTTGTTTGAAAGGTGACTTGGTCGAGAATTTTCTTAGCTTAATAAATTTTCTTAGATTCAAGAAAATCTTTTCAACCGTTTGAAAATCATCAGTTCTTTTTGTTTCTGGCTTTTTTTAAATTTTCAATTTAATTTATATTTAAGCTTACTTTACGTTTTACTTTACTTTACTTTACGTAGATTAGAATATTTTTATTTAATATAAATTATTACATTATTTATTTATTTATTTATTTATTTAACAGTTTATGTACACACATACTTTGACAGGAAAATGGTAAAAACAAAATTATGTACAAAGGCACTGCTTATTCCATAAAGAAATTTCTTCCAGCAGGCCTATTGAAGGATAGTTGAAGGAAATAGAAGTAGTCAAAGTGTGCACTTTATTAACATTAACATATACAATAAAATACAAATTTACAAACCTACAACTAACAATTAATTACAATACAAATTACAAAACTACCCTAATATATAATTATACACATACGTACATACATACACATACATATATATACATATACATACACATATATATATACATAAATATAAAATACCAATATAATATATTATAAGAAAAAAGATAATATAATTCAATATATTATATTTTTAATATTACGTATATGAATATCTACACATAACGAATTAATCATTATGGTGTGAATGATAATGCTCTTTAACAAGTCTTTTAAACATAGACACCGACTTAGCGTCACGAATCCTAAAGGGAAGTGAATTCCACAATCGAACTGCATTAACCGTAAAAGAATGAGAATAGAGCATTGTATTGAAAGATGGAAATCTTAACAGTGTTCTAGTATTTGATCTACATGGGACATCTGGAGCATGAACAAAAGTAAAGCGATTTTTTAGATATAGCGGAGTATCAGGGTTATGTAGAATATTGAAAAGAAGACAGAGGATTCGAGTGTTCCGGCGAAGGCGGATGGGGAGCCATTTAAGCTGCTTGCGATAAACAGAGACGTGATCGAACTTCTTTAAGCCAAAAATGTATCGAATACATAAATTTTGCAAGCGCTCGAGTTTATTAATTTGCTCCTCGATAGCATCCAAATAGCAGACATCAGCGTAATCTAAAATTGGCAATATAAGAGTCTGGACTATAGATATCTTAGTAGACAAAGGTAGAAAACTTTGAAGGCGTTTTAGAGAACGAAAGGTGTGAAATATTTTCCTGCTTACATCCGTAACATGTGCACCCCAAGTTAAATTGCAGTCGAAATTAACACCTAGGTTCTTGGCAGTATCTGAGTAGGGAATAGTGGCACCATCGATTCGTAGAGTTTGGAGAGAGGAGAAATCAAGCGTGCCACGCGCATGTCTTTTACCTATTATCAAGGCTTGGGATTTAGTTGGGTTTAATGTGAGACCAAATGATCTCGACCATTTGCTAATCTTATTTAAGTCGTCATTCATAGCTTCAATCGCCATGTTGGCTTCGGATGCCACAAAATTACGATATAACTGCAAATCGTCAGCATATAGGTGGTAATTAGCTGATATGACCCTGGTGATACAATTAATAAAAATGGCGAAAAGCAGAGGAGAGAGGACTCCACCTTGAGGTACACCCGCAGTTACATTATACCATTGGGAGTATATTTCACCTGAACGAACACATTGTGACCGATCACGATCACATTATTACATAATTCATATACAAGATCAAGTTTCTACCTTTGTTTCTTAGAGAATATCTGTCCTGGGAAGAACTAGCTAGAAACCCAGTAATTTTTTATATATAATAATATTATACATTGAATAAAAAATTGCAATAACATCACACAGTTACCAATACGTATAAAAAAGATTTATATGAATTGTTATAGATATTATGGCTTGGTAGCCGACACAGATTAAACAATGTGGTAGCGATCTGCTTCTTCCCAGGGGTTACTTTCATTTACATATTCATTAATAATATAATAACCGTTTTTATACAGTTTCTGTCTAACGATGTTTAGTAAGATTTTCTGTAAAAGTGTATATCTCCATAAATAAGTTACTATTTTACTAGTATGGATATTTTTTATTAAAAAACGTTTCTCAATCTTACACTAATCTTAATAACATTAATCTTATATTAATGTTACTATTTGTAGTTTTATTACGAAAAGATTTTGAACCTACTTCAAAAAGAGGAGGAGGTTCTTTATTCGACTGTATTTTTTAATGTGTTCGTCAGAACTTATCTCTAGGTGGACCGATTTTGATGATTTTTTTTTTAATTTGAAAGCTGGTGATTTTCATGTAGTCCTATATAAATTTGATCAAAATCTGCCTTCTGACTGATTTGACTTCGAATATGTATATTGATGATATTCTCATTTTATTGTAAAAAAATTGATTTTACTACTTGTTTTTAAACAACTACAAACTATTCAAAACAAAAATAAAATAAGAAAGTCTTAGTATTGATTTTTTTTAAAGATTTTCGAAAAATGATTTCGTTTCTTAGGTTTTATTAACATACAATTGATACTTTATCTACTCTTCCCTTGTACTCTTATTTCATCAATATAGGCTATTTTTGTAATACTGTAATTAATAGTGTTGAATTCGTATTAACCTAGAGTAAATTTATAGTAACAAATAAAACATAATGATCATTTATCATCACATGTAATAAAAGCATAGCGTATTGCTCAATCAAAAATGCAAATTACTTACCAAGTTTTAGCTTTTCCAATTGTTCAACAGGAACGTCCTGCAACAGAATCGTGTATAATTTAAAACAACAATTACATATTATAAAACACACACATAAAATATCAATACAAAATATTAATGAAGCTCATTGTATTTCTATTCCGAATAAATATAAACCATCTGGAGTTTAAGGATTCACCTAAAATGTTTTGTTCAACTTTTATGAGCTGAGGTAAACTCGTGTATACGTACTCGTATATACATTTGTTTCGCTACGAGGCTACGGATCTAAAGGTACATTTTTCGTAGAGATCGCGAAAAGAGAACACAACTTAGTGTTATGTATTATACGTGGAAATTATTTTATATTAAATGGGTGCGTTTGGCAGAAAAAAGCGCTAGCAAGCGCTTACTAGCGCTAAAATAGTTTTCGGCCAGGACACGATTGCTACGAGTACTTCAGTAGCGCTAACACAATCCGCCATTTTGCTTATTTAATTTGTTTGTTTTGAAGTAGAGTTTATAAGTTGTTTTTTTTGCAATATTAGTTTTAAGTAATATAATGACATGAATAGACATATACATATTATTAAAAATTCATGATTGGTAAGTTTTTAATATGAATACTTCACAAACATATATTTAAATTAGGTTAGGTTCCCCGGTTAAAACTAACATCGTGTCCTAGAGGAAAATAGCTACGTTATGATCGCCATTTTGCTTACAAGCGCTTGCTAGCGCTTTTTTCTGCCAAACGCACCCAATAATTTATGTTTTTATGGAATATGGATGATAAACGAACACATAGTCCATTTAATGGTAAGTGGATGCTGAGGCCTATAGATTTACACTTAACCTTAATACTCGTCAAGATTCAAAATGCAGATTCATTGTCACCCCTGAGGACTAAAATGGAATGCCTCGTTTTCAGTAAAAAGGGTCTCCGGTTCTCAAAACTCACGGTACGAAACGCAGCAGTATCAAGCTGCTATTTCCCGCTGGTATTCTGTGAGAGCGTGTTCCTACCCCGTTCGAGTTCAAGTTCGCTACATTTGTGTTACACCTTTATTATAGCTGTAGCGTGGCTCTACCTTGTGACAAATTTATATTATTTAATTAATATTACAAACTAATAGCGAAAGTAGAACTGAGAATTCCAGGAGAAAGGCAGGTGCGTTGCCAGCCTTTTAAAGCTCAGTTTCAGCTCTTTTCTTGAGAGCCTCTAGTATTTTATTACGGAACTGTTTAAGAAGTTCGTAAATTATGCTGTTTTGGAACTGCAAATATCTATCACTGTCGAGAATTTGAATAAAGTCAAAATAAATTTAATAAAAACTCTAAAATAGTTTTAATAAATACATACCTACTATTTGCATCTTAAATGTTTATCTGTTCGCAGAAGCCCATTTTTTTAAAAATAAAGGTATAGTTAAGGTTTAGAAATTTTTGTTTAATTTTACAACCAATTAAACTGCACTGCTGAACACCCCCCCCCCCCCCATAGATTGCGTCATAGGTAGGATATTTGCCACAGTTGCCACGCGCGGCAGGTTGGCAATGGCACTTTTTTACTTTTAGTTGTAACTAGGAAGACACTGCAACCCATCTCCTGGTTTATTTCCCTGTCTCGCCTCTTACGACACCCATTGGACGTTATGGGGAAGTGGATATTTGTACACCCTACCGCCGCTACACGATATAAGAATATCTAGTTTTAATTAATTTACTTTTATTTAACAATAAGCGAAGTTATTATCTTATTAACCTACCAAAGTTACAAGCAAGTTTATTAAATAAGAAACACAAAAATTTAAATAGAACTCTAAACAACTTTCCGCAGACAAATTTAGCGAAACTCTAAAAATATATCAGAATTCGAGCCAGCGCGGTGTGGCGGCCAACGTCAAAGTAATAGAATCCTATTTGCATATCTAACGCTACGAAGTTCGCGTTTGGAATATTTAGAATGCTTTGTCAGGAGAGAGAAACACTTTAATATCATGTAAAATAGAAAAATGTTAGTATTATTTTGACATGTAATTTTAATTCCAGTCAGCGTAAATGTCTCTACAACATACAGAAGTTTATCGAATACAAGAATTTTTATATGTCGGATCTTAATGTCTTTGTAACGTTCCAGTTCACCCACAGTTTTTCCATTTTCCGTTACCTACCTTGTTACGATAGAACGACGTTTTACGTCATCTGCCCAGCATACACATACACCAATACCCAAACCAACGCAGAAATCAGTGTCAAATGGCTAAAATGGCTTTTGTTATTTCAATCGCTCTCACCCACCATCTCCGAAGCGTGAAAAATTATATCATACCCCCTGTAAAATGGTAGAAACACATGTTCAGTAGTGGACTATTTACAGATTGATTCTCCAAACATTCCTTCACTTTTTAACTTCCCATTGGGAAGTTATTGTAATGGGTCCGATTTTGTCTCCACGTTCCAGGTTTTTAGAGTCGAATAGTGTGGTTTTTAAGAGAATGTCCGTATGTGGCGCCTTGTGTATCTCGAAAACATAGAGTGGTATTGACATGGGACCAGTTTCATTTAACGCATAATTATGTAACTTAGACCTCATTAACTTTTGAGCAAAATCAGTCACGTCGTTTTTTTGTGCCGAATGAAAAATTGTATAAAATATTAAAACATATGATTTTTTTATTCTTTCCACTTGAAAATTAGTCGTATTGACCTTTCAGGTCGCACCTAGACCGCTTTCTACGTGATAGATTCACGCTGCGGCTATATTATGGCTGCAGCACGAATGGTTCTGCTCGACCTGGATAGAACCACGCTGTTACGGAACACCAGCGTGAAATAGCAAAATAATGATGCTCTGTTTTGTATGGTGAGTGTTAAAACCGGAGACCCTTTATACTGGTACGGAGGTATTCCATCTAAATCACGGGGTAACAACGCATCTATATTTTGATTTTTAATCGAGGATAGAGTGAGACGTCTGTGAACCCCAGCATTTACTTACCATCAGGTGGACTGTGCTCTCTTGTCATTTTTTTCCATAAAAAAAAACTTGCTTAAATCATGTACACAACGAAATAGCTTGAAAAATCTCCATACAACATGCCTTCTGTACCATCATTATACTAAAATTTATTAAATTTCGATTTTAACACGCATTTTAGAGGTTAAATTATGTAATTGCTGTTTTTTCCTTGCCGGAAATTATCCAAATTGAAGAAAAAATGGTAGTCCATTAGGGCTAAGACTGGAGGGCACGGATTTTTCCGGTGTTAAAAAAAGTTTGTTGAGTTGAGCAGTGGGAGGTTTTGCATTAGAACATTTTTTATAGAATAAGGGTGATAAACGAGCACACAGTCCACCTGATGGTAAGTGGATGCTGTGGCCCATAGACATCTAAATTTATCCTCGATTAAGAATCAAAACGCAGAAGCGTTGTCTTCCCTGAGGACTAAGATGGAATGCCTCGTTTCTAGTAAAAAGGGTCTTCGGATCTCTACACTCACCGGACGACATACAGCAATATTAAGCTGCTAATTCACACTGGTGTTCTATGAGTGTGTGATCCTTCCCCGGTCGAGCCGACCCATTCGGCTACAACCATAATATATCTGCAGCGTGGCTCTACCACGTATAAAATTTTTATTTACTTCATCTCATCATATATATCATACATACATTAAAAATGTTTAAAAGTAATTAGCTAAGATCCGCGTAATAAAATAAAATCATTTGTGTTACCTAGTTTGAAGAGCACCTCCAGCTTTCCCTCAATAACGTGCACTATCCCCGTTATCACTAACCCCAACACCACTACTTCCAACACCACTACTCCCAACACCACTACACTAGGAAGACATACGGCTGTTGATAATACGACACATGTTTCGCCTCTAAACGAGGCATCATCAGATGAAGTAGACTCTGCGGTAGCTGACGGCACACTTAGCGGATCTTAGGTAGTTAATTTTTTACATCTTTAATATTTTTTTTATAGAAAAGGGGGCAAACGAGCATGCGGCTCACCTGATGTTAAGTGACTACCGCCGCCCATGATCAACCGCAACACCAGGAGAATTGCAGGTGCGTTGCCGGCCCTTTAGAAAGGAGTAAGCTCTTTTCTTGAAGGTCCCCAGGTCGTATCGGTCCGGAAAAATCGCTGGTGGTAAACTATTCCACAGAGAGGTTGTACGCGGAAGAAAACTCCTCCTGAAACGTACAGTGGTCGACCGAAGCATCCAGATGGTGTGGATGGTATCGGGACGTTTGCCGCGTAGTGCTTTCACGAAATTTGGCGGCTGGGATTAATCCGAACAATTTCTCAGAGCACTCTCCATGGTATATGCGAAAGAAAATGCAAAGAGATGCAACATCTCTTCGCAGTGCCAGTGAATCGAGCCGATCGGAAAGCACTCAGTCGTCGACGATTCGAGCCGCTCTGCGCTGGATGCGGTCAAGTGGAAGGAGCTGGTACTGGGGAGCCCCAGCCCAGAGATGGGAACAGTATTCCATGTGCGGCCGAACCTGCACCCTGTAAAGTTGCAGGTGGTGTGCCGGCATGAAATACTGTCCCGCTCTACTGAGCACGCCAAGCTTTTTAGAGGCCAATTTGGCCTTCTCTTCCAAGTGACCACGAAACTGCACGTCACTCGATATGTCGACGCCGAGGATTCCGATACTGGCTGAGGCAATAAGGGGAGTGCCTTGAAACTGAGGAGATACGACAAAGGGGTTCTTTTTAGCGGTTAACGCGCAAACTTGTGTCTTCTGGGGGTTAAATTGGACTAGATTTGGTCGCCCCCAATCCGAGACTCCGTTCAGCAGACTCGACTTCAGACACAATTTTGTCCCGGCACTCGGAGACGTTTTCCCGATAAATATTGGCTCGGCCGGTGTAAAGAGCATCACCAGTGCTGTCATCTGCATAGCAATGAATGTTACGGGTTTGCAACATATCATTGATATGCAGAAGAAACAGCGTTGTCAATAGCACGCAGCCTTGTGGAACACCAGCGTTAATAGGCTTGCAATCGGAGCTTGCACCATCTATAACGACCTTGATGCCCCGATCTGCAAGAAAGCTGGTGATCCAATCGCACTATTTCTCGGGAAGCCCATAGGAAGGGAGCTTTGAAAGAAGCGCTTTGTGCCAAACCCGATCTAAGGCCTTCGCAATGTCCAAACTAACGGCCAATGCCTCCCCCTTGGACTCTACTGCCTCCGCCCATCTGTGAGTTAGGTAGACCAGAAGATCACCAGCTGACCGACCACGGCGAAAACCGTATTGGCGGTCACTAATCAGCTGGTGATCCCCAAGGTACCTCATGAGCTGGCAGTTTACAATGGACTCCATTGTTTTAGAGAACAAGGAGGTGATGGCGATAGGCCGGTAGTTGGACGGGTCTGAGCGGTCGCCTTTTTTTAGGGATCGGGTGGACGAAAGCCGTCTTCCATGATTTTGGGACTACGCCTAGGGAGTAGGAGTACCGGAAAAGACGCGTTAAAACCAGTGCCAACTATGGAGCACACGTCCTCAGCACAATTGGGGGGATTCCGTCAGGCCCACTCGACTTGTGGATGTCCAGGGAGAGGAGTTGAAACTGAGGAGATACGACAAAGGGGTTCTTTTTAGCGGTTAACGCGCAAACTTGTGTCTTCTGGGGGTTAAATTGGACTAAATTTAGTCGCCCCCAATCCGAAACTCCGTTCAGCAGACTCGACTTCAGACACAATTTTGTCCCAGCACTCGGAGACGTTTTCCCGAGAAATATTGGCTCAGCCGGTGTAAAGAGCATCACCAGTGCTGTCATCTGCATAGCAATGAATGTTACGGGTTTGCAACATATCATTGATATGCAGAAGAAACAGCGTTGGCAATAGCACGCAGCCTTGTGGAACACCAGCGTTAATAGGCTTGCAATCGGAGCTTGCACCATCTATAACGACCTTGATGCCGCGATCTGCAAGAAAGCTGGTGATCCAATCGCACTATTTCTCGGGAAGCCCATAGGAAGGGGAGCTTTGAAAGAAGCGCTTTGTGCCAAACCCGATCGAAGGCCTTCGCATGTCCAAACTAACGGCCAATGCCTCCCCCTTGGACTCTACTGCCTCGAAGATCACCAGCTGACCGACCACAGCGAAAATCGTATTGGCGGTCACTAATCAGCTGGTGATCCTCAAGGTACCTCATGAGCTGGCAGTTTACAATGGACTCCATTGTTTTAGAGAACAAGGAGGTGATGGCGATAGGCCGGTAGTTGGACGGGTCTGAGCGGTCGCCTTTTTTAGGGATCGGGTGGACGAAAGCCGTCCTCCATGATTTTGGGACTTTACATCCCGGGACGCTGATGCGGCAGCCCAGGCTTGGTAGCACTCCTGCTTATAGCATGATGCTATTTTACAGGAGCGACCAAACCATGGCTGAGATTTGCCTCTAATGGGCACCAAAGAGGAAGGAATAAAAAGTTCCATACCCTGATGTACCACATCAGCGATAGAATCCGCAACAACGTTGGGATCGTCCGGCGAGAAGCAAACCCGCCCCCAAGGGTAGGATGCAAAGAAAGACCGCATCCCATCCCAATCGGCTGACCTATAGTGCCAAACATGGCGGCAGCCTGCAGAATGCAACTGCGATTTTAGCGTGAGTGGCACCACACTCCGAACAAGACAATGGTCCGAGGAGCCTAAAGGGGCGTCGACGGAAATCTGATATCCGTCCGGGTGAGAGATCAGCAGAAGGTCCAACAGGGAAGGTGCATGATCCTCCACATCTGGAATCCGCGTAGGTGAAGTAACCAGTTGAGTCAGACCATATGCCAAGGCAAAATCATGAACAGATCTCCCCCGCATGATCGGTTAAACGTGAACCAAGCCATTCGGCGTGATGGGCGTTAAAGTCGCCGAGGATCACAATCTCTGCGGAGGGGATCTGCTGTAGCAACGAATCTGTAGCCATTTGGACGTGGTTGAAGAGTCGGTCTGTTTCGGCATTACCGCTATGGGATCTATAGAGGCACCCGTAGACGCGCGGATGGTCGTCGCTGTCTACGCGTAGCCAAAGGATGCACAGGTCCGAACTTTCAAGTCTGCCGAGGCGTCGAGAACAGATGTCCTCTCTGACGTAAACGCAAACTCCAGCGAGGCACAAAGGAGTGTTTAAGTATGTACCCCGGGTATGAGAGATACGAGACATCAGCCGGAGAGGACACCTGCGTCTCGGTCAGAAAGAGCAGAGCCGGCCTCGCCGTCTCGAGATGGTAGTGGACGGCGTTTAGGTTAGAGTGAAGTCCCCTGATATTGCAGAAATTCACGGACAGCGTGGCAGGGGTCGCCTTGGTCATGTTGCTCCGTTCGCCCCGAGCAGTTGTAGTCTTGAGCAGAATTTTGCCCCCTCTCCCCAGAATATGCGGGGCAGTCTGAGCACCCACGCTCAGAAGTGGAGAAACATGGTCGTGGATGCTCAGCGAGGGATTCTTCAGGGGTGCTGGTACCCTCCTGGGGTAGTCTATCATTATTTAATTCCGCTACCATGTTGATGGGGGGGGGGGATTTGGGCCTCCGGCCACCTGCACTCACCAGACGAAACGCGGAAGCAGAGCTTCCACTTCACGCCGGTATTCTGTGTGGTCGTGGTACCACCCCGGTTTGAGCCGGCCCATTCGTGCAACAGCAAAGCTGCCGCGTGGCTCTACCACTGTTAAATATATAATGGGTTTCCGCAAAATAATGCCTGATTCTATTAATTATTGGACCATACAGTTTTAATTTTAATTCAAATTGGGCCTCCATTGAAACAGCAACTTCGTACATTAACCCCTGTTGTAAAAAAGAAAGTAATCTCAAAATTCCCATTTCAAATGTTATCGTAAAGCGAACAACGAGGGATGAACAAAACCATTGCTCAATAATTTGATGTGAGCCCCAAGGCGTAAGCGTGTTTTTGTGTAAATGAGCTTCGTTATTTCACTCGTTATATAAATCTGTTCAACTTACCGATTTACCGCCGCCCTCGGCTGTCTCTGTAACAAACACAATGCACACTTGAATTTATGTTGTCACTTTGTATTGTGAAGAACATATTTCTACACCTTTGTCAGTTTATTTTCTATTTTATTTGTTGCAAAATAATCATGTACAGAGGCAATAGCAACAGAAAAGTGATATGTTATAAGAAACTCCTTTGTACTCTTCACACGATTACATTGTTCGTATTCTATACCTATTTATTGATGGTGTACTATTGGTATAAGAATAAAAATAAAGAAAGCGTTGAAATAATTCATTACCCTATAAGTTACAGCCTATATACGTCCCACTGCTGGGCACAGGCCTCCCCTCATTTCTGAGAGGGTTTTAGGGCAAGGAAGTGTCCGCCGCGCTGCCCCAATGCGTGTTGACGAACTTCACATGTCTTCGAAATATTTTTTCTTATTCCTCAGACATGTAGGTTTCCTCACGATGTTTTCCTTCACCGCCGAGCACGTGGTAAATCAAATTGCATTTAACTATTTCATTGGTGCCGGCGGGGGATCGAACCCGGGTTACTCGCATTATGTTATATTTACAGCGAGCGTTATATCCATTACCCTATATCAGCAAGAAACGACAGAGGAAAATAAACCAGGAGATTGGCAGTAGCGTCAGCCTTATAACATCTAGAAAATTAAAAACTGCGGTTGTCAATCCGTCCCCCAATCGTTTTTTTATAGAATATAAGTGACAAACGAGCACACAGTTCACCTGATGTTAAGTAAATGCTGTGGCCCATATATCTTCGATTAAGGATCAACGCAGCAATGCTCTTAGGACTAACATGAAATGCCTCGTTTCCAGTAAAAAGGGCCACCGGTTCTCTACACTCACCACACAAAACGCAGCAGCATTTAACTGCTATTATTTTACGCTGGCATTCTGTAAGAGCGTGGTCCTTCCCCGGCTGAGGCGACCCATTCGTGCTACAAACATACAAATATATCAGCAGCATGACTCTACCACGTACGAAAACTGTCAACTATGACAAATGTACCCCTTATGAGGTAATGTATTAGAAAACCTCTTTTCAGCAGTGGAATTTTGAAATGCTGTCGCTTGACGATGTATGGTGATTGAAGGGAACCGGAATAACATTTTATTGGTAACGAGGCATCCCAGTTTAGTACTAAAGGTGACAATGCAGATCCATGAACTTACCATCAGGTGGACTGCGTGCTATTTTTTTTTTCAGAATAAATTGTATAAAAATAAAACCTTAAATTTATTCTTACTATGTAAGAGGCTCATGTCCATGATCTGGTTACGAGCTGATGTGACTTTTTTAAATGATGAAGTATGCAAGGGTAGATTTTTTATTGAAGTGAAAACTTCTTTAGCGGCGTTGTACACTTTTTTGTAATGGGTAAAAATATTAAACTCACTAGGACACGTGACCCTGAGCGAAAATTCGTAAGACGGATGTAGAGAGAGAGAGAGAGAGAGAGAGACAGCCGGACAGGCGTAGGAGAGGAAGTATCCCCCTATCGTTCTATGGCGTGGTGAAAATGTATGCCTGCGCCTGCTGTTTCGTTTAGGCGGGGCAGGGAGCTTGCGCGAATGTTCGTGTGTGATAATTAAAGCAATTCGTACAAAATTATTCCCTAACCATTCCAAAATATCAAAAATGCACAACGTTAATATTCAAGTTTTCACTTCTGCCGGCACTCCTTGAGTACAACCCGTCGTTTTTTTTATAATAGGAGGATTTTGACGGCGGGTGTAATTCGGCGACTTTTTAACCGACTTCAAGAAGGAGGAGGATACTCAATTCGACTGTATGTACTTTTATTTTGTGTTATCAGAACACATAACACGTCACCTCAGAATTTTTTGTAGGTGAATCAATTTTGATGATTATTTGAAAATTGCCGCTTCTCGTGTAGTCTCATATAAATTTGATCAAGATCTGACCAGTAGTTTTTGAGCTATCTTTAATAATACGTATTTAATTTACTACTTTACTTACCACTTGTCATTATCATTAATGTAATAATGATCCATTTTCAGTTACGTTATTTTGTTGAATGTTTTAAGAAATACAGAAAGCGTACAGTTGTATCTTGTTGGGCGTTATTAATAGACTCAAAGGGTTCGCGAGGCATTTCTGCCCGTATCCTACAACTACAACAAACGCGTGGGCAGCTTATATTGCGGGCCGCTGCTCAATTAGGTTATGGAGTAGGGAGGAACCGCGTTCACGCTACAGTTGTCGTGTACAGTTGTAGTGTGGGGTGATCCCCCCACTAGATGGAGTGACGACCTGGTAAGACATGCAGGAAGTCGGTGGATGCAGGTGGCTCAAGTCCGTGCTTTGTGGCATTACTTGAGGGGGGGGGTCTATGTTTAGCAGTGGACTTTTGAAAGGCTGTAATGATGATGATGGTGATGATGGAAGGTAATGTCATATTTTTGTAGGAAGTCGAATCAGTAGCGTATATATATATAAAACTAAATCTCAACAACTCTGGTTCATAACCTACAAATGAACAAACATCTAGAACCGGAACAATTATTTGTCAATACTACGAGTATGACAAATACTTGTTCCGCGTGAGATTCGAGCCCGCGACCCTCAGCGCTGCAACTCAATGCTAAGTCACTGCGCCACATAGTCACAAGCCACAAGTTTCATAAAGGGTTTTGCTATAGTTGCAACGCTAACAGGCAGGTTAATAAGAGCAGTTTTAATTATTACTTTAAGTTGTTAACAGGAAAATGGTGCTGCATATCCCTTTTTTCTGTTTCGCTCTCCTCAATCTTGGTTAGCAGCGGAGCCATAGACCAAACCCGCCACTGGGGTAAGAATAGCTAGTGTTTCTGAGTATCCGTTTTTCATGCCCCCTTGGCCTTCATACATCAGACAGGGGGGCGTCCGTGTGCAAGTGTAGTTGGAGGCTGCGGAAGAGTGCGCGCTATGTGTTGTGGTGCGCCTTACGTGATATGGAGATGGGGGAGGAGTAAGCCTCTTCCGAGGAGGGGCGACCGGTTCCGGTGGGACATTTATGGGATGTTCAAGATGAAGAACGTATAAAATTTCCACTGGGTTTATTACCGGTTCTTCCTAGGATAAAGACTTTTCCGAAACAGTGATAAGAGCATAAATGACGTTCAATAAGTATTCTTGTAATCTTTAATTAATTTATTTATTTATTTAATTCAGAGACACGTTACAATAAGTTATTATTGTTGTACTGTGGTTATTTTATTTTTTTCAACATTCGGTTTTAGATTTTACTTTCCATCCAATTTATTGCATTTTTTTAAATTTTTCATGGCTAGTGATTGTATTTCATTTCCATTTTTACATTTTATAATAAGCGTTGTATTATCTGCGTTTATGTAAAGCAATAAGAGTAAAGGAGCAAGAACCGATCCTTGTGCCGTACCGCAACTATTATTTGTTAACTCTGATTTTAGTAACTTTCATGTTGTTTATTGTTTTATTGATTTCTTACGTTGTTTGCGATTTGATAAATTTTTACTTTCATTGTAGGAAAGCACAGATTAAAATATAATATTATGACAATAATCTATAGGTTGTAGTCCAAATGTTCTACTCCATAACATTCAAAATTGTGAGTTCAAGCTAACTCCTTAGTAATTGATATTAAAGCCCAATTTACATGGTTTTTTAGGAGTATGCACATATTATCACTTTTTTTTTTGTTTTCTGGAAAAAGACGAAACTTATTTATATTGCGACAATTTTAGATTACTTTCAGTTCCTCGTTTTATGAATGTTCAACTTAGGCAGATCACATTTATTGCGCTTATACGAGTTCCTAATTCAACTATTGTTATCTTGAACATTTCTAACTTACCTAATGTGCCTGGTATGTTTTGATAGAAAAGACTTACCGTATTGAAGTTATTTTTACATTGAAATGTATTATTTTTATTCACGAAAACAACTTTTATTTAAGTTGGAAGAGATTTCTTGACTGTAATTTTTTTGGGCGTGTCGCTTGTTTTTTATTTTTCGTGTTTACATTTATTCTTTATAGAAAATTAGAACTGTATAGTGCCCTTTTGTGGTATTAGTTTGTTACCTATAAATTTTGGACACCGATCTTTTATGACATTTCGTAGCGCTGCAGGCGACAAGTACTTTTTATCATAATATTGCGAATCTATTATTAAATTAACTTTCTTGCAAATATGGTATAAATATTCGTGTTTGCTTTTCAACCAATGAGACTTTGTATAAATAAACTTACAGTTCGAAACGTTTTTAGATATATTAGAAATAAAATTATTTAACTTATATACGTTTAAGAAGTTACTATTATTTATACTGATTATAATCAAAGCGTTTCAAAGCCGCTGCATATTCATGAGTTTGCTAGTTGGGTTATATTCGTTTTCACCTGCGCATAATAAAACGTAATTCGGTGAGGAATCTACTACCTTGTTACATTCTTTTAGAATTCATTCAGAGCTGGCAAAAGACTTAAAGGCAATATTAACAATGAATTTTTCATATTTTGTATTGGTTCTTGAATATAGCAACTTTGACGCTAAGCCGGCGCATTGCTGTTCACCCAAAAATATAATTCTGATGTTATTGAGAAATGGTTTTCTTAAGAATGTTGCTTAGGTTTACTACTTTAATTTCCTCCTGTTTATATGCCATTTTTGGTGTTTCTTTAAACAGCTCATTTTTCATTACCATGAAAGGTATGATTAAAGTAAAATTTTATCAAATCGCAAACAACGTAAGAAATCTGTAAAACAATAAACAACATGAAAGTTACTAAAATCTGAGTTAACAAATAATAGTTGCGGTACAGCACAAGGATCGGTTCTTGCTCCTTTACTCTTATTGCTTTACATAAACGCAGATAATACAACGCTTATTATAAAATGTAAAAATGGAAATGAAATACAATCACTAGCCATGAAAAATTTAAAAAATGCAATAAATTGGATGGAAAGTAAAATCTAAAACCGAATGTTGATAAAACTAAAATAACAACAGTACAACATT